ACACATTCTAACTCCAACATCGTTTGCACCTCCCACTCGTTGCCAAACTCCAAGTGCTGCTAGACGTGAATCCCCGTTTCCACCGGATTGCTTCTGTACCAACACAGTCTACAGCCACACCCTTAACACCGCCAGGTGTTTGGCCGACAGAGTCAGCACCACACCAGCTTCCACCACCACGACATTCTCCATTTTAGTTTTCATTTGCACCTCGGAGGCGTATATCCACCAAGTGTTCCTCAACATGGTTGTTCACCCCGTGCTGGCCATTTTGCAGCAGATGCACCAGACCCTCAGAGACCAGCTCAGCCGGGCCGGCCGACACAACACGCACCACAACCGCTGCCACGGCAAACACCGCCACCTATTCTTCGCCCGCAGCTGTCCAAGACACCAGCGGCAAGTCAGCCTAAAGCTGCCAGTACAATTCTGTCGGATGACAAGGACAAGTTTCGTGCCTTATTTGGTCGAAGATGAAATTGCCCAGCTGGGGCTTGTGTGGGTCGAGGAGTTGTCGCTCTTTGAACCGGCCGATGTGGTCGTGGTTGAGGTGGTGGGTTCGAAGTCATTCGAAGTTGTCGAACCTGGTAATGCCAACAACGGAGGCGACGTGGGGGTAGCGGTAACATTTACCGTAGAACAGGATTGTCGGGTGAAATGGGGCCGGAGCCCGAAAAGAAGTTGAATGTGTAGGACATGATTATGATGGCTGCTTCCTTTGAGCAAAACCTGCAGCTGCATTCGAAAGCAACATTGGGTGATTCACTCTAAACAGTCCAACTACATCGAAAAGAAAGGATGAACGTCTCGGGTGTCTGCAGGAAATTTCTTTTGATGGCCAGATACAACTGTCTGGGAGAAAGAATCTGTGGTTGTCGATGCTGTGGGGGACAGGCGTATGTTGAACTGGATGGTAGACCCATAGAGCGGCATATGCATGAACTCTCGGAACGGCTGCATGCGCTGTTGTTTTGAGCAGCAGAGAATTAGTCTGTTGTCCACATTTCTGTAGACAAAGACTTCTGATCGTTGAGAATCAAACATCTCAACTTGTTTGAGTTGAGTGTTCCATTCTGTTTGCCGTGCAAGTTCTGTTGTTCCGTTTTGTTTGCCACGCAAGCTCTGTTTGCACACCACTCAGCACTGGGCTAATTAGTTTGATTTCCTAGACATGTGCTTCGATGCTGACGAAAGACTCGTCCAGCAGCATAAAACACTCCCTGCGTCACATGACAGCTGCGCGATAGCTTGAAGATCACCTACTCTGACAGGTTTGACTTGTCGAGAATGACGTGTCCGGGGTTTGCCGGGCAAAGCAGTTTCCATATCGGGCTGGTTCTTCAACGTTGGAAAAGCCGTGAAGGTCTGACCACAGTTGTGGTATGGACTGAAGTCCGAACGACTTGTCCCAAATCATTCTGATCATCAGTATGATTGCTTGGGATGCTATTTGAAGCAATCCTCAAAAATGGCGAGTTGGCCTACGATATGATGGTGCGACCTTTGCGAAAACCCTTCTTTCGCTTCAAAAACACGAAGCCTGTTGGAAGGCTGGCCTTGACGTCAATGGCCCAGGCATGCCTTCGTTTTACGACTTTTGGTAGTTGTTGAAGAGCCCGGTCCTTGTAAAACTGAGGGCTTTCAGGTAGCGTCTCGATCACTTTTGGATCTTGCCAGCCATTCAGATTGGCTTGGTCATAGAATCGAGGACAAAACACCATCTAATGATTGGCCACATGATCTTCACAGTGAGTGATAAATTTGGGATGTAGTTTGTCTTCCGGGCTGTTTGGATATTTTTCCAAGTAAGCCTCGGTCGTTTCTTTAATTCAAGCACACACAAGTGCTATTTCTTTTGTAGCATCTGCTGGAATGACAGCCGGTAAACCATGTTTGCATCGCCATCTTGCAAACATCGGCACTTGTTGTTGAGGAACGTGTCCCTCGAAGGAAAACACGTAGATACTGCACTTCCAGCTCCCAAAAGGCACAGGCTGGATGAATGGATGCTAGGTCTGATCGATTTTCCAAGCCTGTCACCACGTGTCAATTTACAAAGCATTCGTCAGACAGTAGTTTCCGAAACTCCTGGCAGCAGCAGGGTAGCTCTGTGGAAACGTTGTGGGTGAGCCACTCGTCCCATTGCTTGTTGTTGTGAACAAGTCCTTCAAGTTTTTGTGAGGTTTTTCTCTCACTTTGAAAAGAGGAATATGAAACGGAACTAATACGTGCTTCAATCGGAGAGCTTGGCTTCTGAGCCATGTTGAAACGCGAGAAGAAAAGGATGGATCCGAAGTAAACTGGGTTTGTAGCCCCATGGCTCCTTTGGGCCATGGCATGCTTCGCACGTGCTGCCTTTAAAAGTTGGCGCACTTGTCTGCGACTGGGCTCTTCTAGCTTAATCGCTGAGACGTAACACGTATCAGCGCATATAGCTCCTCATCTTTGGAAGAATTCATTTGCAGGCTTGAAATGACTGCTATGTGAAACTGGCTAGGTCGCAAAGAAATTTGCAGGACTGCTTGGTTGGATCTTCTTTCCAAGCTTGATCCAAAGCCTACGACCAAACACCGAGTAGGAATTCCGGCGTGTCTTTCTGTTGGCTCGGAATCCTCCTGCAGTCCTCTGAAGGTGCCTTTGGGTAGTTGAGCTTTGGTTGCCAGGAATCTTTGAGCATGTGCTCCAAAATCCAAGCTTGTCGATATGTACCGCACGTGGCAATTTGCAACATGAAATACGATTCAACTGTACTCGAACTGTGCCAACATCGAATCGCAGGTTCTGCCTGATCTTCACGGCCCTGCGACAGTTGCCGAAGAGTAGGCATCCTGCAGGATTCTCTGTCTGCCACAGTGATGGATGTGGATCCAACGCACATGGAAGCGGAAGGCTGCCGATAATGTTCAACAGACTTAAAAAGGCGCCAGTCCACAACTAATTTCATGTAAACGGCATTTGGCCTTTGAAATCTGGGCCGTCTATACATCCCGGGATGGACGTACATCGGTCGGAGTTTCCTCGGGAGGAGCTCGGCTTGGGATTGTTGTGCGGAGTCGCTGAGGAGGAGCAAAAGAGCTAAGTGAAGAAGGCCAAGAGACCAAATCTTTGAAGATTTAGGATACTCAGGACAGTGGTGAATAAAGAAGGTACAAGCCTTTCCAAGGTTGTAAATGTGCTCTTTCAAAAGTTTCCGATGATGATCTTTCATCTGCAATGCTTCATACACAAGTCACGAAGCTTCAAATTGAGCAGCAGCAATCACCTTCGATAGGTTTCTGATTGTCAGACGGGCTGCTAACTTCTCGTCAAGCCCAAACTTCACTGCTGCTGATGTCATCCTCTTTGGAGTGGTGGAGTGGCCTTGCTTGAAAAGTTCTTGGACGGTAGCCACATGCTTTCCGGGCATGGTGAACTTCCCTGTGAAAGCTGGCTTTGATTTCAACTATTGCAACCAATCTTCAACATGCTGAACTGTCGCCCACTGTGGGCTGCAATCCAGTTTATTTTTGGGGAGAGTTTCCGGGCTTCCTCCTCTGTCGAGTTTTTTCCCGACTTTGCTCTCTTCGGAGGTTTGGGATTGGAATCCACTTGCAAGGGCAAAGGTCCCTCTTTGGTAGAGGGATCGCTAGACTGAGCATCCGTTGTATCAGGGGTCAGTGCTAGACCATGGGCTGCAAGCTGAGTCTTGGCTTTGACCAAGGCTTCAGACTCATTGGCGGAAGGTTTGGTGGGAAGCTTGGTGTGATTTCCAACTCTGCGGTCCCTTTTCAAGGGTTGAGTCGTAAAGACGGTCCAAGCACTTCCTTGGTACCGTCCTTCACTCAAAAGACGAAAGAAGAACTCAGAAAGGCCTGTGTGGGAAAATTCCCATGCCAGATTGTCCTATATGGGGCGTCCCGCTAAGCTTTGCTTGCGGCTCCATTCAGTAGGCTGAACTTCTCGAAAAAGCTGATGGCCTTGTTTGCCTACTTCTCGTCAGATTGAAATGACACTGGAAGAGTATGTAGGCTTCGGAACAGAGCGCAGCGAGGTACCTTCCCGAGGGCCACGAATACCAGCCTGACGACGACCAGCTTTGATCGTTCCATTGGTTTCCTCGACCGTTGGCCCTTGTTGTCCCAATTCTTTTCATTCCACTCGCTCATGGCTTCGCAACAGAAGAAATCGGCGAGAGGATATACCAGCTGAGGCTTCAACGACTCTTTGTTGGGCCACGCAGGCCTCAAGGCTGTTCTAATGCATTGCTTTCAGCAAAACGAATCAGATTGAACCAGCCTAGCAGTTGATCGCTCAAGATTATGTCTGTGTTCCGAGCCGTACAAAGTTCAATGCAGTAGGAGGCATTCTTACCGTAGACGGCACGTTGAACGAACAACCGTCTGCAATCCTCTCTCTGATTGACTTGGTCTCAAAAGACACGCCTATTCTCAGAGGCGAAGACATATAGCCGCTAGGCAGCATATTTGGGGGTTCTAGGCTTAGCCCCATGCCATAACAATGCAGAAGCACTTGCAGAAAACACGTGTAAAATCATTGGCAGGTACGCTCGGTTGATCAGACCCAGTATCAGCCGTGGCATCGACCCCTTCTTGGGCAACCAGCTATGCTCACGGGGTTGCCCCCCTGCTGAAATATTGCAAGACACTCAGAACTGCATCAGCATCCTATTGCTTGCTAACAGGGTTCCACAGACACGCACACAGACACACACTCAAACACCAACAAAACAGACAACCAACCCTTTCTGCATCAACAGCGAAAAACCGTCCCCAAGAGCAATCCTTCTTCCCTCCTTGTGTCAAATCCTCCCGTCCCACTTGCAAAACCTCCCTCATCCATTCGCCTCAACAATACAATCACACCACACCACCACCCTCCACCCGCGGCAACAACTAAACACAGCCTCACACAACCGCCCCAACAGCAAACCACAAGCACCTTCACCCACCGTGGAGACCCAACTGAACTTGCTGACCGAGGCTTTCCTGACGCATCGAGCCATGAGGTGCAGGTATGTCGGACCTTTCCCAGCACCAGCGCTTGGCCTGAAAAGCCAGGCTTGCCAGCCCGGTGTGGCAGCCGTGTTGCCCGCACCTTACTTACAAGCTTATCTTCAGTGCACTGCGAGCCAGCTTAAACGTGCCAATTTTAGCGCTGAGTGCTATCCTCGTCCAAGTTTGGCCCTCAGTGAAGCCGGGCGCTGGGAGGATGCCCTGAAAGTTAGCAAGCAGATCCACCTCAGGCCCGGAGTTATGCACAGTGTGTGCGCAGAGAAACCGTCACACGCTAAACGGTTGGGAGGAAAGTGCAGCCAGATGTTGCAAGTTACGGGCTACTGGTGCCCACGCCTCGGGAAATCGTCATCGCGCATCTCGGCCAGCTGTCGAGACGGTTCCGCAGGATGCAGTGCGAGCAAGAAGGCCAAGCTCTGTTGACGCACAGAGACAAGAGTCTATGCAGCCGAAGTCCGAACGGAAGGAATGGCCGGGCAAGAAATCGGCATGCTCCGAGCGTTGTTCCGTGTTGCCTCGGGGGCTCTCTGCCGATGGCTCAGATCCACTTTACATTTTTCGGACCCATTACTGATCTCGCCAGCATCGCAGGCAAGCCTCGCATCCTGGAGCCCGAACGCGGCGTAGAGGAGGAGATCAAATAATACCAACGTTAGCCTAATTAACTTTTGTTGATTTTTAAATTCAAAAGTCAAAGAACTATTCATATATTTCTAAGCTTTTGGCAGTTTTATGGAAAGTGTTTCTTTCAATCTATTGAGATTTTTAAGTTATATTATACTAATTCGAAAGTTTGTGATCGAAGGCTACAACCGCGTCCGACAGGGAAATATAATTTATAGCGTGGTCAGTTTAAGTAAAGAGCTGCAAACATCGATAAAGAACAGAAATTATTATTTATTTCATCCAGTGCTGGCTCTTGTGCGGAACTAATGTTGACCGAGTCACCGTTCGGAATATACGTAAATATTAGATAATTATTGATACATTCCTTTATTTAAAATCTTGTTATTTATAGAAAAAATCTTCCTTTAAAATCTTATTATTTTTATAGAATAAAATACACTATATTAGAAAAGATATTTTTAATTGATGGAAAAATATATTTAAAGAGAAAAAGAACGAGAGAGATATATATATATTACAATACTTGAAATTACGAGGTAAGCCTGAAATAGAAAGAAGATTAGATTGCGAATAAAAGATTATAATATGGAAATTTTTAATATTTGAAGTTTTCTCTATATATGTTTATTTGGGGATTTTTTTAATAGAAAACTGATTTTTTTAAGCTTATTCGTTTTGGAGAAATCTTTCTTCGGGCTAGGTTTTTAATAATAATAGAAATTGGATTTCGAGATATTATTTTTATATATTTATAAAATTCAAATGAATTTTTAATATTAAGATTAAGATTATATTTTTTTTATTTAATTTTTCTGATGGATTTTTAATTGAAAATTCTATTTTCTATAAAATACGAGAAGCTTGAATAGAAAAATGGCAGAAATATTGGATCTATGTTAAAGAACAAAAAATATATTAGAAATATGAATTAAGATAATGATTGATGATATAATATATATATATATTGAATTAATATATTTTATTTTATAATATGTAAGTTAATAGCTTTGTTGAGAAATCTATCTTAATTTTTTTCTATTAAGATATATGAAAATAAATAGAATAAACCGAAATTTTTTTTAATTATAAAAATATAAAAATAATAAATTTCTTAAAAAGACTTATATATATAAGATTAAAAAAAATATAGTTAAAGTAATCTTATTTTTCATTAAGCCGCTAATAGAAAATAAGATAATTAATTTATGAAAAAGAAAAATATATTATGAATTTTAGTTAAAAGAAACCGACCCCAGAGACTCAGCAGAGGTCCTCTAGATTAAGTGTTCAGAGGCCTGGTTTGTTTCACTTCAGAAGTCAGCTTACGGATCACATTTGGCTCAAGGGAAAAAGCAGGGCGAGTAATTAGATGCTCTGGTTGTTTAGGGGTTCGGCTCGGCCGGGTTTAAGTACCTTCTTTCCCCTTTGATTGGTTATCAGCCGTAGCTCTTTTTCCCCGCTTCCGCTGGACCCTAACTTA